TTGCAAAAAAAAAAAAAAAATCTCACGAAGTTGGAAGTAGTCCCACAAACTACTTTTGTTGCCCTGCATGTGGCAGTGGAGAATGGAGCAGGAAAGCAGGTTAGTGGAGGGATGTGGCTGCCTTGGGGGTGGGTGGGTTAGGGATCTCTCACACACACACCCACACACCATCCTTTTCTTGGGAACTCTGCACAGATGCAGAGAAGGCTTTGGATAGAATATTTGGGGGATGTGCGTCTGCGCTGAGATCCCAAGGAAAGAATGATTGCTAGGAAAAGGGGAGGGGATTTTGCCTCTTATCCTGTTCTGAGTCTGTGCTGAGCTTCAGAACAGGGTAAGAGAAAGTAAAATCTCCCCTCCACATTTTCAAGCCGTTTGCAAAAATGCCCCATTCCGATCCTTCAATGCTGCAATCCTGGAATATGCTGAAGGCTCGAAATGGGGCATTTTTGCGAACGGCTTGAAAAATGTGGAGGGGGATATTCCTGCCTCTTCCCCTGTTCTGAAGGTCAGCACAGACTGAAAACAGGATAAGAGACAAAATCCCCCCTCCCCATTTTCAAGTGGTTTGCAAAAACACCCCATTCCATGCCTTCAAATCCTGCAATCCTGGATAATGTGAAGGATCGGAATGGGGTGTTTTTGCAAATGGCTTGAAAATGGGGAGTCTCTTATCCTGTTTTCAGTCTGTGTTGATCTTCAGAACAGGGTGAGAGGCAGGAATAGCCTCCTCCACATTTTCAAGCCTTTTGCAAAAACACCCCATTTCGAGCCTTCAATGTGAATATGCAGGTGAGCAGCAACCTCCTATAGGCATGAAAATCCATACACTTGGGACATCGGAAGAAGCCCTGCGAGGAGACGCTGCTGCCGAAGTGCAGGCAATCTCCCCCTCCCACCTGCAGATCGTCCTTTCAAAGAGGAGTTTCGCCAGGACAAAGAGGTGGCTGAAGGCAGCATTTGTGTTGCCTTCATCCTGGTGAAACTCCTCTTTAAAAGGACGATCTGCAGGTGGGGGGGATTTCCTGCACATCAGCAGCGGCGTGGACAGAATTACGAGCTGTGACTATCACTGTTATGTAAGGAGGACATGAGGCATTTGGGTTGTGTTGCTTGGCCTCCGGCTTCTTTTGCAGCTGCAAAAACGACCGGCGTTTGCTGGAGGCAGAGGCCTGAGCAGCACCCGCAAATCAGCTGTTTTGTGAATGGAGCGGCTCAGCTGATCTGATTAAGGGGCCAAGAAACCCTGAGGTGACCGGGCAAGGGAAGGGCTGCCCCCTGTTCTGGCTAAACTCACCCCTTCATTAGGGCTTATTTTCAGGGGGGAGCTTATATTTTTACCCACCGCGAAAATCTGGCATGGCCTTAGTTTCAGGACATGTATTTTGGGGGAAACACAGTAACAATACATTAGAGTAGTTTGAGCTGTAAACAACATGCTAAAGCAGTGGTTTTGTTATATCCAGAAGGTGCGGATAAGGTTTGGAAGTGACTCAGACGGATGTGTCCTTAATTCACTGTACTGTAACAAGCAGGAGGAAGCTCAATGCAATCAGATTTACAAAATTATGTTGTTATAGGTAATCTCAGTAAAAGTAGTTTTAGCTTTCTTGTGGGGTTGGTTTCTTTTCTTTAATTTTTTTTTATTTTCAAACAAACACAAACACACAAAACATATAACATAAAAACCTCTTCAACTGCATACAGTATGTCGATTGGTTACAAGGTCTTTCTGTGTCCATTCCATAATCATCACTTGAGCTTTATCAAAAATCAGATTGCCAATCAAATATCTTTGTATACGTTATTATTATACTTCATTTGTTTGATTATCACTATTATTTCTCCATTTTAAACAAGGTATTCTAAATATGTATCCATTTATATTATAATGATTCATTATATCATCTTCAATATATCCAACAATAAATATTTTTATATCCTATTCTAAGCCATTCAATTATTTTAGCATTGATAACATTCTCTAATAATTTTCAATTCCATGTTTTTTCCATTATTAGTATCATCAGTAATTTACATGTATACAAATTGTTGTTTAACAATTATAACAATTTAACAGTATAACAATCTATTAAGCATAGCTATTATTACATCCTTTTTATATAAAACATATTAAATTTGAAGTAAATTTATATTATGGCATTTCATTATATCATCCTGAAATCATCCAATGATATTACATCTTTATATTCTATTCCATATAGAATTATTTATCTTTTATAAAAAGGTTTTGCAACATCGTCTCCATCAGCCTCACGTACAGTTTGTATAAAATTTCATATTATCAATCTAGTATATATAAATGCTTTATTATCATTATTAATCATGTAGCTATTATTACTTTGTCTTATACATAGTACTCAAAATTTAACTACATTTACCTAAATTTTATTGTGACATTTCATTTCATCATCCTGTATCCTTCCAGAAATAGTGCAGTCCAATATCTCTTGCCATTTGTAGAATCTGTATTCTAAGTGATTTCTTGATAAGTCTTATGTGGACTTCTCTTGACAACTTGTTATTCATTGCATATCTTATAAAGATTCGAAACCCTCTATCTGTTCCTTTCATCAGCTTGACTTTTGTTACCGCTGGTGCTTCTGCCAAAATTGTTTCTGTGGTGTTGGTTTTTTGACCTGGAGTATCTAGTGAAGCTAACACAAGACATGCTTTTTTAGCAGCAGTGATTATCGCTTAAAATTTATGGGGAGTCCTTGACTTATGACCATAATGGAACTTGTATCTAAGTTCTAAGTTCTTACGCCTAACGATTAAGCAATTCAGTCATTAAGTGAGTCACATCTGATTTTATAACGTTTTTTTGCCATTGTGGTTAAGCAAATTGCTAAGAAAATAATCATTATGTGAATCCATTATGTCCTAGAATCATTTGATTCTGGGACACTGCAATCTTTGTAAATATATGCTGGTTGCCAAGCACCCAAATTTCAATCTATGTAATCATGGGGATGTTGCAGTGGTCAGAAGTGCAAGGACTAGTCATAAATCATTTTTTCAGCCTCGTATTTTTGAACAGTCATATGATCATAAGTTGAGAACTTTGTGGAAGATGTTGGTATAATTAGGTTGCTGGTATAAGGTCTGAGCCATAAAGTAGTGAACTCTGATATTTCAGTTGTGATAGTTCCAGGGCTTGAAACAATATGAGCGAGTGACTAGTTTGAATATTTGAGAAAGTAATAGATGCCTAGTTGGGCTACTGGGGTGTTTCCATATAGTTTTACACTGTTTTACAGGCTGTGAATTGTGTTGTCTGCATCTCAAAGTGAAATGCAAATGGTTCCTGTAGTTGCATTATTTTGGAAATGCATTCATACTCCCATACCATTCAAAGGATGTTCATCCCAAAGTGCATAGCTACGTATCTATGGGGATTCTCAGTCATCAAGGTCATGGTTGTCCCAAAGGTGTTTTTTCGAGGCAACTGGACTTTTTTGTTTTTCCTTGAAGACATTTCACTCCTCATCCAAGAAGCTTCTTTAGATCTGACTGGATGACAGGGAATGAAGGATTTATATTCCTTGCAGACAGCTGGTCATTTGCATTCTTTTAGAGAGTCATTGAGGACACTTGGGGGTTTGTCTGTGTTCTCAAGGTCACCTGAGTAGTGACCTACTTAATCTGTTTCTAAGAATATATTTATGATTATATTTAACTAATAGTTACAAGTGAAAATATTTAACAAAGTTATGTTTCTCTTTTCCCTGTATTTCTTTAATAGCCCACCTCTGTGAAGTGTTTTATCTATGTAGTTACAGATGTGTGAAAAAGTCCTGCATGCTTTCAGTTTTAAACTATATTAACATGTTTAATCAACTTTTCACTCATAGAAACCACACAAAATTAGTACTTCGATGAAAATTTCTGTAGTCAGATTGAGATGCATACTTTTTATTAATATAGCCAAAGTCTTTTTAAGGTTTTGAGTCAGTTTATGCGCTAAAACAAACACAACTTGAATTTTTGAGAATGTTAGGATTGGAAGTAGCCAATTAGCAGCGAGTTTTGTCTGACCAATCAAAATGCACAGAGGCTAAATCTATGAACCAATCAATGTTGTCATACTCTCGGCCTATAAATAGGCATGAAAAGCATCGCGAAATTTAATTTAGCTCTGGCTGCGGGCAAGGATGAAGGCCTTTGCTTTCACCAGTACTGAGCAGCGGCATCGCATCATTGTGCTTCATGAAGAGGTTATCCTGTACAGAAATAGCCAAGAGAGTGAAATGCCAACGCACCGCATTGGTTCATAGATTT